TGCGCCCCCCGGGCACCTGCTCTGGGGCCACAGATGGTCTGGGGGCTCATGCGAAGCACACGGCCAGCTTGGGGTGACATGTTGGTCAGGAGTCGCAACCAAGCCCCTTCCGCGCGCTCCCTCCCCGGGATGGTGACCCGCCCTCCCTGCTTCCCTGCTTCCCTCCCTCCTTCCCTTCCTCCTTCCTCCCTCCCCCTCTCTTTCCTCTCCCTTCCTCCCTCCCTCCCTCCCTTCCTCCCTCCCTCCCTTCCTCCCTCCCTTTGTTGTTAATCCTCACCTGAGAATCTTTTTCCCATTGCTTTTCCCAAAGAAAGTGGAAGGGAGGGAGGAAGGGAGGGAGGGGGGGGCGGAGAGAGAGAAACAGAGAGACGTCCATGTGAGACAGGCACAGCCATCGGTTGTCTCCCACACACGAATCCACAACCCGTGTCCTTCCGTGCGCGGGCCGATGCTCTACCCATTGCACCATCGGCCAGGGCTGTTACTTACTTTTTGGCACAAGGATTGGACCGTAGCCGACGAAGGGGCCCGGGCTGGACTCTGTGGCCTGGGCCTGTCGCCTGGTGTGGCTCTGGGCCCCCCTCGCTGGGCCTCAGTGCTCAGCTGCAGTGGGGGTGGGGGTGGTGTCCGGACCTCCAGTCTGGGCCTCTCAGGGCCAGGGCCCCCCAGCCGGGGCTCTGCGCCTCCTGGGTCCGGCCACCTCTCTGGGAGGTGCCACCAGGCACAGATGACCGAGGCTGAGCCTTGCTCCCCAGAGCTGTGCTGCTTCTGGTCCGACTGGATCAATGAGAACCACCCGAGCCAGGGCCCCAACGGCGGCGAAACAGAGACCTTCGGCAGCGTCTGCCCGGCGCCAGAGGACATTCAGTGCCGGCCGGCCAAGGCGCCGCACCTCAGCTGGGAGGAGGCGGGCCAGAAGGCGCAGTGCGACCTCTCGGTCGGCTTCCTCTGCAAAAACGAGGACCAGTTTGAAAACGGACCGTTTGAGATGTGCTATGACTACGAGATACGCGTCAACTGCTGTCTGCCAATGGATGAGTGTCCTGTGTCCACACCCTCGACCCCGACCCCCACCACCACCTCCACCACCACCACCACCACCACCCTCACCCCAACCACACCCACCACCACCACCACTGAGACACCAACCCCAACCCCTACCACCACAGTGACCACGACCCCCACCCCCACCACCTCACCCACCTCCTCACCCACCACCTCACCCACCACCACCACCACCGAGACACCAACCCCAACCCCGACCACCACCACCACCGAGACACCAACCCCAACCCCGACCACCACCACCACCGAGACACCAACCCCAACCCCGACCACCACCACCACCGAGACACCAACCCCAACCCCGACCACCACCACCACCGAGACACCAACCCCAACCCCGACCACCACCACCACCGAGACACCAACCCCAACCCCGACCACCACCACCACCGAGACACCAACCCCAACCCCGACCACCACCACCACCGAGACACCAACCCCAACCCCGACCACCACCACCACCGAGACACCAACCCCAACCCCGACCACCACCACCACCGAGACACCAACCCCAACCCCGACCACCACCACCACCGAGACACCAACCCCAACCCCGACCACCACCACCACCGAGACACCAACCCCAACCCCGACCACCACCACCACCGAGACACCAACCCCAACCCCGACCACCACCACCACCGAGACACCAACCCCAACCCCGACCACCACCACCACCGAGACACCAACCCCAACCCCGACCACCACCACCACCGAGACACCAACCCCAACCCCGACCACCACCACCACCGAGACACCAACCCCAACCCCGACCACCACCACCACCGAGACACCAACCCCAACCCCGACCACCACCACCACCGAGACACCAACCCCAACCCCGACCACCACCACCACCGAGACACCAACCCCAACCCCGACCACCACCACCACCGAGACACCAACCCCAACCCCGACCACCACCACCACCGAGACACCAACCCCAACCCCGACCACCACCACCACCGAGACACCAACCCCAACCCCGACCACCACCACCACCGAGACACCAACCCCAACCCCGACCACCACCACCACCGAGACACCAACCCCAACCCCGACCACCACCACCACCGAGACACCAACCCCAACCCCGACCACCACCACCACCGAGACACCAACCCCAACCCCGACCACCACCACCACCGAGACACCAACCCCAACCCCGACCACCACCACCACCGAGACACCAACCCCAACCCCGACCACCACCACCACCGAGACACCAACCCCAACCCCGACCACCACCACCACCGAGACACCAACCCCAACCCCGACCACCACCACCACCGAGACACCAACCCCAACCCCGACCACCACCACCACCGAGACACCAACCCCAACCCCGACCACCACCACCACCGAGACACCAACCCCAACCCCGACCACCACCACCACCGAGACACCAACCCCAACCCCGACCACCACCACCACCGAGACACCAACCCCAACCCCGACCACCACCACCACCGAGACACCAACCCCAACCCCGACCACCACCACCACCGAGACACCAACCCCAACCCCGACCACCACCACCACCGAGACACCAACCCCAACCCCGACCACCACCACCACCGAGACACCAACCCCAACCCCGACCACCACCACCACCGAGACACCAACCCCAACCCCGACCACCACCACCACCGAGACACCAACCCCAACCCCGACCACCACCACCACCGAGACACCAACCCCAACCCCGACCACCACCACCACCGAGACACCAACCCCAACCCCGACCACCACCACCACCGAGACACCAACCCCAACCCCGACCACCACCACCACCGAGACACCAACCCCAACCCCGACCACCACCACCACCGAGACACCAACCCCAACCCCGACCACCACCACCACCGAGACACCAACCCCAACCCCGACCACCACCACCACCGAGACACCAACCCCAACCCCGACCACCACCACCACCGAGACACCAACCCCAACCCCGACCACCACCACCACCGAGACACCAACCCCAACCCCGACCACCACCACCACCGAGACACCAACCCCAACCCCGACCACCACCACCACCGAGACACCAACCCCAACCCCGACCACCACCACCACCGAGACACCAACCCCAACCCCGACCACCTCACCCACCACCTCACCCACCACTCCCACACCAGAGCCGACCACCACCACCACCACCACCTCATCCACCACCTCACCAGTCACCTCCACAGCAGAACCGACGACCACCGTGACGACCACGACTACGACATCCACAGCTACACCAACGCCCACCACCACCACCACCTCATCCACCACCTCACCAGTCACCTCCACAGCAGAACCGACGACCACCGTGACGACCACGACTACGACATCCACAGCTACACCAACGCCCACCACCACCACCACCTCATCCACCACCTCACCAGTCACCTCCACAGCAGAACCGACGACCACCGTGACGACCACGACTACGACATCCACAGCTACACCAACGCCCACCACGACGGTGAGCACCAGCACGCCCAGACCAGAATCCACGCCATGTATGGATGAGTGCAGATGGACGGGCTGGCAAGACAGTGGGAAACCGAGCTTCGGGGGCTCAGGTGGAGACTTCGAGTCCATTGAGAAGGCCTGTCAGCACGGCTGGGCAGCCAACATCTCCTGCAGAGCCGCCCAGTTTCCAGATCGCCCCATCGAAGCCGTGGGACAGAAGGTGGTGTGCGACCTCGAAGAGGGGCTGGTGTGCAGAAACCAAGACCAGCTCGGGAGCCCCGGCAGCATTCCCATGTGCTTCAACTATGAGATCAACGTCTACTGCTGTGGGTACTGCTCTACCACCACGACCGTGACCCCGACACCCACACCCACCATCAGCTCAACAAAGACACCAACCACCACCCCGACCACCTCACCCACCACCACCACCACCACCACCGAGACACCAACCCCAACCCCGACCACCTCACCCACCACCTCACCCACCACCACCACCACCGAGACACCAACCCCAACCCCGACCACCTCACCCACCACCTCACCCACCACCACCACCACCGAGACACCAACCCCAACCCCGACCACCTCACCCACCACCTCACCCACCACCACCACCACCGAGACACCAACCCCAACCCCGACCACCTCACCCACCACCTCACCCACCACCACCACCACCGAGACACCAACCCCAACCCCGACCACCTCACCCACCACCTCACCCACCACCACCACCACCGAGACACCAACCCCAACCCCGACCACCTCACCCACCACCTCACCCACCACCACCACCACCGAGACACCAACCCCAACCCCGACCACCTCACCCACCACCTCACCCACCACCACCACCACCGAGACACCAACCCCAACCCCGACCACCTCACCCACCACCTCACCCACCACCACCACCACCGAGACACCAACCCCAACCCCGACCACCTCACCCACCACCTCACCCACCACCACCACCACCGAGACACCAACCCCAACCCCGACCACCTCACCCACCACCTCACCCACCACCACCACCACCGAGACACCAACCCCAACCCCGACCACCTCACCCACCACCTCACCCACCACCACCACCACCGAGACACCAACCCCAACCCCGACCACCTCACCCACCACCTCACCCACCACCACCACCACCGAGACACCAACCCCAACCCCGACCACCTCACCCACCACCTCACCCACCACCACCACCACCGAGACACCAACCCCAACCCCGACCACCTCACCCACCACCTCACCCACCACCACCACCACCGAGACACCAACCCCAACCCCGACCACCTCACCCACCACCTCACCCACCACCACCACCACCGAGACACCAACCCCAACCCCGACCACCTCACCCACCACCTCACCCACCACCACCACCACCGAGACACCAACCCCAACCCCGACCACCTCACCCACCACCTCACCCACCACCACCACCACCGAGACACCAACCCCAACCCCGACCACCTCACCCACCACCTCACCCACCACCACCACCACCGAGACACCAACCCCAACCCCGACCACCTCACCCACCACCTCACCCACCACCACCACCACCGAGACACCAACCCCAACCCCGACCACCTCACCCACCACCTCACCCACCACCACCACCACCGAGACACCAACCCCAACCCCGACCACCTCACCCACCACCTCACCCACCACCACCACCACCGAGACACCAACCCCAACCCCGACCACCTCACCCACCACCTCACCCACCACCACCACCACCGAGACACCAACCCCAACCCCGACCACCTCGCCCACCACCTCACCCACCACCACCACCACCGAGACACCAACCCCAACCCCGACCACCTCGCCCACCACCTCACCCACCACCACCACCACCGAGACACCAACCCCAACCCCGACCACCTCGCCCACCACCTCACCCACCACCACCACCACCGAGACACCAACCCCAACCCCGACCACCTCGCCCACCACCTCACCCACCACCACCACCACCGAGACACCAACCCCAACCCCGACCACCTCACCCACCACCTCACCCACCACCACCACCACCGAGACACCAACCCCAACCCCGACCACCTCGCCCACCACCTCACCCACCACCACCACCACCGAGACACCAACCCCAACCCCGACCACCTCGCCCACCACCTCACCCACCACCACCACCACCGAGACACCAACCCCAACCCCGACCACCTCGCCCACCACCTCACCCACCACCACCACCACCGAGACACCAACCCCAACCCCGACCACCTCGCCCACCACCTCACCCACCACCACCACCACCGAGACACCAACCCCAACCCCGACCACCTCACCCACCACCTCACCCACCACCACCACCACCGAGACACCAACCCCAACCCCGACCACCTCGCCCACCACCTCCAGTGATGGTGCCAGGCGGCACTTTCCCTTGGTGGTTGGTGAGGGCCTGTCGGTGTGGTGCCCGGGAGCTGCCCCTCCAGGCCCCTGTCCCGCTCTCCTCAGCACCTGCCAGAGAGGGCGCTGGGCCTGCAGCCAGAAGGTGTGCTACGGCACCTGCACCATCTACGGGAACGGCCACTACATCACCTTCGACGGGAAGTTCTACGACTTCGACGGGCACTGCTCCTACGTCGCCGTGCAGGTGTGGCCG